AGTTTCTTGTGTGAAAAATGTTAATAAAGAAGCTGACTGCATGGTTTTCAAACTTTGTTTTCAGGAAAAGTCACCTGGACAAAGGATGGTTACAAAAATGTTTGATTTTTTTTAGTTTTTCTGTTTTTCAGGTACCAACCACCAAACAAGATCTCCATTAAAGTCTTACATGTCCCATTTAACCTGACGAATACACAACTTCTGCACTTATTCTCGTCCTCCCGTTTCCCTCTGTGCTTTTCTCGGGTTTTCCAACCTTTATTTATCCTCGTCGGGTGTTACTCTTAATTAAATAATTGTCTTAATAAGCTTATGCTTCATCCTATTCCTTTTTGAAACATGATGCATGTTTATGAAGCATTCAATGTAAATGTTGTTAAATTATATTGTTTCAAAATAAATTAAATGAAAATGAAAATGGTTTTGAAACTCTGTTTTCAGGAAAAGTCACCTGGACAAAGGACGGTTACAATAATGTTAGATTTTTTTTTGTTTTTCTCCTTTTCAGGGACAAATACGGTGGCTTAGAAGTGCAAAACACATTTACAATAAAAGAAAAAAACGTTGAAAAATAAAAAAACAAAATAAAGAAACACATCCATCCATTTTGTGAACTGCTTATTCCCAAATTGATGACATGAACAAATGAAAAAAAAATATAGCATTTTAAGAAACAAATTCATTTTTTAGGAAACAAACATTTTTTAAGTAAATTGTTTCTTAAAATGTTATGTTTTTTTAATTCGTAAATGTGTTTTCTGAACTTTAGATGTGTATCCTAAAATTTTATTCAGCTTTTTTAAATCATAAGGTGTTTTTTAAATTGTAAATGTGTTTTGCACTTCTCAGCCACCGTAGAAAAACCACCAAACAAGATCTCCATTAAAGTCCTAAATGTCCCATTTAACCTGACAAATACACAAATTTTGCACTTATTCACGTCCTCCCGTTTCCTTCTGTGCTTTTCTCGGGTTTTCCAACCTTTATTAATTAAATAATTGTCTTTTACCACCATGACACATATAACTGAGGGGTGGGGCTTAATAGGCTTATGCTTTATCCTACTCCTTTTTGAAACATGACGCATGTTTATGAAGCATTCAATGTAAACAGAGTTAAATTATATCATGTTTCAAAATAAATTAAATGAAAATGAAAATGGTTTTCAAACTCTGTTTTCAGGAAAAGTCACCTGGACAAAGGACGGTTACAATAATGTGTGATTTTTTTTTTAGATTTTCTCCTTTTCAGGGACCAACCACCAAACAAGAGCTCCATTAAAGTCCTACTTGTCCCATTTAACCTGACAAATACACAACTTCTGCACTTATTTACGTCCTCCCGTTTCCCTCTTTGATATCTCAGGTTTTCCAGCCTTTATTTATCCGTTTCGGGTGTTACTCGCCGTTTTTTTGGCAACAGCCTGCTTCATATCCACTCATGGGAGCTGTAGTCATCACTTTTTATGGATAAGAAAGGTATTGTCCTTCTGACACTCCCACCGTCGGGTGGTTTAAAACTTTAATTTGTAATCAAACCCAAATCCCAAGACGTTAACTACTTCCCAGAAATCATAAAGTATTATTGCGCCGTTTTCATAAGTGACAAATAAAATAAGAAAATAAATAAAAGATTGTAGAAACATAGCAATGAATATATAAAAGCAACCCGGAAAAATAAAGCAAGACAAGAAAAAGAGAGAGAGGTGTTGGTTATCTTTTCAAAAAGTCACAATATCATTTAATATAAAACACTTTTGAATATAACATAATGAGGAATCCAATCCATTATCAGGACCAATCCAACACCGGTTGAAGAGGGGGGGGGGGGGTCCACCTGGATAAGCTTCAGTACTTCCAAATGCACACAGAAAAGAGTCGAAACATGCATTTTTACTACATTGTACAAAGTCGAAAGCCAAAAACAGGATGTCTTTTATTTGCCTTTACAGGGCAGAAAGTCTCTGTCGGATTGGGAGGGATCCAGAGGCAAAAGGAGGGGGTTTGGGGGGGTGTCCATTTGTTTCCCGGCACTTTGGGATAAAGTGCCCTCTTCTCTTTTAGACCGACAGCTGAAGGGAAAGCGGAAACTGGGTGTAAGGCAGGAAATGACTCAACAGACTTCAGAAATTAAGACAACACTTGTGGAACGGCTTCATTTTTTTTTAAAACACAGCGACACATTGTGAGTCCGTTTATAACGTCTGTTCGGCCTCCATGCTGCTGGTACAGATCAATTCAGGAGGAAATGCAGTTTTTTTTCTCTCTTCGAAGCTTCAATCTTTATTATCTACGATTTCCCAGTTTTTCGACGTCTTACACGTGAAAAATAGGCTTAAGAAGAAAGAAGAATTCCTCTTTTTTTTGTCCAATCACACTGAGAAAAGCATCTAGTTTACATCTTTTTTCTGTCCAATCACAATGTAAAAGGCATTTAGTTTCCATCTTTCTTCCTCTCACTCTCGTGCACACTCTCGTGCACACACTCACTTTATTATCTATGATTTCCCAGTTTT